GGTTCAGCAGCCTTGAGAAGCTGGCCTCGGAGCCGTACTGCACTACGATGTCGCTCCTATCTTCAGGAAGAAGAGACCCATCACTGCTCCTGGGAAAGTTCCCACCGAGTCTACAAAACACTGTGGCGCTAAGAGCGGCGGGCCTCACCTCCTCCTGCACTTCAGGCCCGGTTCTAGTACCTGGTGATTCGAATTCCATGTCTGTCGTGGTCTTATTTCTCAACGATATCCCGTGAAGGAGGTGCTCTAAACCCCCGTTCCTGAAGATAATTCAGAGCCCATTAACTTGCCCTGCTCATCTGCTCACAGCCTTGGGACATGTTTAGTCCAGTTAGAACTTTCATGTCCTAGGTTGGGGGTTACCAAGCATTCACAAAGTGATCCAGTTCTTACCTCTTAAGACAAAACAGATGATTTCAATTCAATGTGTTTACCGTTCTAACAGAAGGCTCTGCATGCTGTGCTTAGATTCTATGTCAGTGGTTTTAAATTTTGTTTAATGCGGTCCCACCGTCCCCTTTCCCCCTACGTTCCCCTGGCATTTTATGGGTGGGGCTCAGGAGAGGATCTGCGTGTGTTAACCTGTTCCTCCTAAGATTTTCATAAGATTCAGTACCTAAAATACCGTGCTGTGCAAACCAATCCTCACGTAAGCCCTGCTGGGCAGACCCAGTAAACTCATCAGCAGCCTCAAATCGTTCTAGAAACAAGCAGTTGGGAGCAGGGGAGGGGTGGTCGGGCACGTGGAGGGGGACGTACCTGGGCCACCTGCTGACTTTCTGTCCCCATTTCGTATTTCTGGATTCTGAAAGCTTCCTCTTACAGTCCTCCTGTTTTCCTCCCTTACCTGTGGGTGTCTTTCTCCTAGTATTTCTTCAGAAATCTGCAAAGCTTTTTCATACATCCTTTGTGCCTGTGATGGCTGCTTGGAGAACAGAAGGTAGCGGGCATAGGTGTCTAGGCACATGCCCAAGAGGAGGTGGGTGTTGGCTTTCTCTTCCACTAGGAAGGAAGGAAGAGCAGTGCTGGGATATAACCAGTGCAGTACAGAAAGTGAGGCAGACGCGTGACCAACCTGCCCCGATCACTTTTCTTATTACCAAGACCCACACTGAGTGTTTCACGTCACTAAAGAAGTACTCCTAACCTTATACTTTGTTACACAAAGGTGACAATTCAGGTGGATTAACATCTAAACTGGCTCCTGGACCCACCTGTGTGTGTTGGGGAAGGGGTGGAGCGTCTCCACACCAACAAGCAGTTGGGTCACCAGCAGGGTATCTAAGAATCCAACTAAATTCTGACACCATCCACCCAGAGTCCACAGGCTAACCCCCTCCCCCAACTTCAGACGCAAGTCCACGTCGTCACCTGTGCTTGTGAACAACTGGCTGTAAATCAGAGGTTCCCCAGGACTCCCTCCCTCGGGTTCAATTTGTTAGCTAGAGTGGCTCACAGATTACTAGATCACCGGTTTATAAATGGCTGTAACTCGGGAACAGCCAGATGGAAGAGGCACAGGGCAAGGTGTGTGGGAAGGGGCCAGGCGCCACTGCCCCAGCACCGCCCCAAATCCCATCCTTTGGAATGTTGATGGCGGCTTCATTACAGAGGCACAACTGATTCCATCACTGGCCACTGATTCACCTTCCAATCCCTCTCCCCTCCCTGGAGGTCAGGGCTAAGACTGAAGGTTCCAACCCTCTAATCGCATGGTTGGCTCCACATGCAACCAGCCCGTCCTTAGGTGCCGCCCAAGTCACCTCATCAACATTAACAAAAGACACTTTAAGTCACTCCCAACACTTAGCAAATTCCAAGGATTTGGGAAACTATGAATAAAGACCAAATATTTTTCGTCATCTGAATGACGAAATAAAGTATTTCTTATAAAACACAACACTGCAATATCCAATTAAATGATGTCTGGGTCCACACTTAGTTTCAAATTTTAATCTAATAATATTTAGCAGAACCAGGTGAAGATAAACTCAAAGAAGAATACGTTAACAAGAAAAAGTCTAGGGCCAATGAAGAAGTTTTCAGGTATGAAAATAGCGCTACAGAAAGGAACCAGAGAACACTCAGAATCCTGAAATGGGAAGTCACAAGCCAGATTTAAAGAACAGCTAATCCATTTTTTGAAGAACAGTAAAAGGCTGCAGATATGGCACCCCCCAACACACACAGGAATTGACCACACGACGTCTGAAAAAGAACAAACTTCAAACACCTAATGCCGTGTGAGAAGAACCAGAGAACAGACCTAGGGACCAGTAAGTGAAAGCAACCTGCACAAGTAAAGACTCAGGAGAGATGATACAAAAAAATGTGGAAATGGTGATGAACTAGATCAAAGGAAATTTTGCAAACAGCTGAAAGTACATGTTTACACAAAGGACTTGAAAAAGAGGTTCCCTCATGATCTTCGGGAACACAGTTATTAGACACCCAAATGAAAGGGTTCAGATGGGTTTCTTTACCAGCAAAGGTATTCACACCAAATACCTTTCCTTCCATATCATCAAAGTTTCAGAAAACTTACAAATGGGACAGAGAATTTAAAGACTATGTTACCAAGTAACAGTATGACCAATTACTGAAGAGACAGTTTACATAAAACAATGCAAATAAAAACACCTACTGAAATAATATCTGAAGGTAAAAGCGAAAAAAAAATGTTTTTCTTCAAGTAGAAACCCAAAGTTATTACTTTGGCCTAGTTATATACAAAAGGTAATGATAATCATTTTCTTAAAATCAAATTAGGAGTAGTTTTAAATAGATCACCTTACAAATTTATTTTCAAAAAATATAGATGAAAATTATTTTTATAAATATAGAAAGTATATATGTTTATGGATAAATATAACCAATATAAAAAAGCAAAACGTAAGATGGCACCAAATAAATACCACATGTAAAGATACCGTACTTCTCCATTAAAAGGAAATGTTGAAACGACAAAATATATCTCACTATGAGCACTCTTTTTAAAATGCTGAGCAAAAAAGCTTATAAAATCAGCGGCAGTTTAAGGTCCACACTATTGGGAGATAATGTAATGTGGACAAAGGTCCAGATAAAGACAGATAAACCACTGTGCTCTCTTCACTTACTAACAAAAATAACAAAGGTCCAAGAAGATAAGCAGTTTGTAACAGACTGAGAATATACAGATACACTAAAATCCATGTTCTTGGAGAACATTTAAAAACAAAAAATATTTACCAAAACTATCACAAAACAATGTATAAATTAATTATTCCAATTCTGGAAACTGTATGTTTCAAACGTGACTACTGAATCATATTTCTGGAAGGTGTGTTAATAATTCTCTTTAAATATTTCTACATTAACAAAAGCATGCTTTTTACATTTTACAATTAGAAAATATGTTCAACACTATAACTCAGAAGTACAAGAATAAAGTGACAATTCTAGTAGAAAATTACCCCTGATATCCGTAATGGAAATTAAACTAGAATGGCAGAAAAGATAGTAAAGATTTTTAGAAAGAATAATTGATGAGATAAAATTTTAGCTGTAATATTTTGTCATTGTTGAGAAGAAAATACATTTTAAATTCGTAGCACATTCAAATCGTACTAACAAAAACATGAAAAAAAAATCTCTAAAACAGGACCAAGGGAGAAATAAAAAGACTCCATAATAAAACCTTTAGCACACCGCCAAGTTAAAAGTTCATACCTTTAGTAAAGTACCAAAAAGAGTCCCTCTTCCAACTAATAACAATTAAAACACGGTTCTCTGAAATAGTAATATAAACGCTGTTAGAAATTAGACAAGAACAAATCAGATAACCTAATAACAGCTGAGAAATAAATTGGGATCGTTTATACAGAGCTTCCCCCAAAGGATTACTGGAATCTGAGGGAGAGGGAAGCATACTTATTTCTTCAAACTTTAGTTGTAAATAGTTGTTTTTCGCAAATTATTCCTACGAGAAAAAGATGAGCTACCTAAAATCAGTCTATGAAACAAACAAGATTCATCACAGAAATCTGTACTCAAAATATAAGCAAACTGAATTCTCAAATGCACAAAGGATAAATGCACCGAGCAGTTTTTGTTCCAGGAATACCAAGAACGGCTCAATCTACTTAACGTATCAGTATATCAAATTAGGCTTGCATAACTGCAGACTAAAAGGAGTTTGGTAAGTTACTGGAACAATTATATGCACTCAGAAAAACAGGAATAGGGACTCCCCATCAGTAAGAAAAAGAGCATCTCGAATTTAAGAAAACGTGAGCACAGGCATCTAGTTCCCCCACCCACCGCCAATAATAATCTAGGAAAGTCTACAGGGTCTCTGAACCTAAAGGTATTTGCCACCCATGTTCGAGGAACATCCTAGAATTTCTGCTAAGCTGAATCTCTACCTAACCGATTACCCCATCGGCACTTCCTGAGACCACTAATGGGACCAGTGGAAGGAGTTTTTGGTTCCAGTAACATGACTGATAATCTGAAAACCCTTCTGCTTCAAATATTAGATAGATTATAACGAATATCCTTTTACATGTACAGCTAGCTGAGTTCCCGAGAGAAGGAAATCCCAAAGGCCAGAAATTAGAAATAAGCTAAAACCCAAAGTGGAAAGCATGTGTGTTGATGCAGGAGAAGCCCAGTTCTGGTTGGTTCTGTGGGTGGCCTGAGTGTCTCTGAATCCGGAATTGGATTCTTCACCTTGTGCAGAACAGAGAACTAGATGTGAAGCCCCTGCATAAAACCAGGATGTTCCCCAGAGGCTGCAAGAGAAGCCTGAATGGCCAAGCCGAGATCTAGATGGGAACAATGACTGCATGGAAAGCTGTATCACAGGCCTGTGCACACGCAGCGTGATGTCTAAATCATCCATTTAGGCTTGGACCCGAGTGCCCGGAAGAAACAAACAAAACCAGCCTGGAGACTCATTTCTCGAACCCCACTGAAGATGAACTTACAACCCCAAGTATGTAAGCATGAAGATGCATCAGAAATGGAAATCAGCAGACAATAAAAAGGAGGTCTTCCCCTCAAGATAACTGAGTGATCCCAGACTATAAACTGAGTAGGGCCAAATGCTGACTCAGACATCAGGTATGCTCCACCTCGGGGCCCTGCACTGGCCCCTGCTCTGCCTGTAACTTGCCTCCCTCAGCGATGACCACTTGGCTTACTCCCTCCCATTCTCCAGGCTTCTTACCAGTCGGGCCTTTCCCGACCCCTCTATAAAATACTGTACTGCCCCACCTCTCCCCTAAATAACATATTTCCTCATAAATTTATCTGTGTCGCCCTTTATCATCTTTGGATATGTTATTAAGTTAGTGGATCGTCTTTATTGTGTGTTTTTCCTTCACTAGAAATTGAGGAGGCATCCTTCAGGCTCTACTTACAGCTGTACCTCAGTGCCTAGTAATACGCCTGGCATGTCACAGGCATTCAATCAGTTCTTTCTTGACTGACTGGTTGAATGAATGAACATATATAAAAAGAAATGAGTAGAAACATGAAGGTACTGAACTAAATATGGAAGATACAGTAAAAGTAAAAGTTTTAATTACAGAAGTAACAACACAACACTGCATGTATCTATGAAAGCTCAGTACAGAGATGTCATTACAAACCAGTGAGAAACGGATGCACTAATAAAACAGTCCTGAGCTAAAATCCGTGCTTGAGGGAGGAAAGAATCATATCATTACCTCACACCATATTACAAATAAATTTCACATAATTGAAGACTAAATGTAAAAAAGCCAAATATTTAGAAGAGACTATCTTTCTGACCTTAGAAGAGTGAAGGATTTTATTAAACAAGACTCAGAAAACAAAACTATAAAGGAAAATATCAAAAGATTCTATTACATTCAGTAGAATTAATCAATCTCTGTCAAATGCCCTAAAGTGCAAAGACAAGGTCACAAAGAGATAATGTAACCAATAAAATAGATGCTCAAAAAAAGATGCTCAAAGACATTAAGCTGAGAACT